ATCGCTGATTTTCGACAAAATGCGTTTTACTCGGTGTTATACATAGTGCATTCCCTAGAAGATCCGTGAACGGTGAAACATTTTATCTTTGACCTGACCTGTGACGTCATTGGTGGCCCCGAGGTCAATGAAATTTGGTTTCCCTCGCCAATTTGACAGGGCTATCGAACACCGTTTGAATATTACGGATCCGTTCAGTATTTTCGGAGATACGGGGGGGGGGTAAAAAATACCCCCCCCCCTCAACGCGCGGAAGGTGGCCGGGAGGCCCACCGCCTGCCGGGTTAACGATTGTACTTAAACCCTCGACTGGTCTCATGTTAACCGGTGACTCGTGAGGTCAGGTCTAGTGCCCAAGGTATAGTTTCTGTTTTTGGTAAGTAATTTCACCAAAACAAAAAGAAAGAAAAAAAGTTTTGGCACCATCGTGTTTGCCATGCCCAGGCGCGTCGAAAACCTTACTTTTATTTTGGGTGAGGGTAATTAACCCGCGCCCCGTTCGGGTCTGCCGAGCAACGTTGGGGTCTGCCGTCCGTTGGGGGGATAGCCAATTTGCCCCCCCCCCCCCCTCTTAGCTAAGATCTCGAGAGCCACTCAAGATAGCGACAAGCAGCAAACGGTGTTGGATAGCCCCAACAGGGAACTACCTTTTGACCAAATTTCATTGACCTAGGTCAAACCGATGACGTCACAGGTCAGGTCAAATGTCGAACTTTCACCGTTTACAGGCATTTTAATAAATGCGTTGCATGCAAAATCGAGTAAAATGCATTTCATTGAAAATCATCGTTGGGAAAATGTTCCTCAAACACATATTTTGCTATTTGATGTCACTGATACCAGGTCAGGTTACAGAGGTCAGGTCACTGAGGGTCACAATATGAAAATATCATGTGATGCATGTTTTATGGTCAATTTTATATGCCAAATGCGATTAAGTGGGTCAAGCAGCCTTTAAGGCAAGTTTATATTATGTTCTGGTGAAGGTCAGGTCAAGGTCAGGTCTAGGTCAGGTCAAGTTAGGTCAAATCTCAAAGTTGCTATTTTGCCTAAAACGGGTATCGATTCGATGCAGCTCGTCACGGGGAGTTCAATGGTGGTCTTTGTTTTGCGCTTGTTTTGCTCTAGAATTGCTATAAATTGAGTTAAAAAATTTAAAGTACCTAATCAGTGTTTTCAATGTTTTCTCGCTATAACTTTGCCAAAAAGGAGGTATCGATCTAAAATTTGGTATGCATATAGAAGAGCACAGAGAGACTATACCATATGTTCCGATTTTTTCGAAAATCGAAAATTTTTGGGATTTTTTTGCGCTTTTCTAAAAAATTAACTTTATGAATTTTCGGGGGTCAAAATCCCAAAATTTGGAAAATCCGAGATGGCAGTTTTGTAGCGCCGTTTTTTGTCTACATGACAATATAAAGAGCTGTGAAATTGCTTGGTAACTGTAGCTTTTGTGAGTGTTTCAATGTTTCATGTTTTTTGTTCATTTTTGCTCGAACATGACCTCAGTTTGACCTCAATAACTCCTGACCTAGGGTGACCTAAGATTATTTGGACCGAAGTTGGAGGTACCCCCTCGCAAGTTCGCACGTGCAAGGCCCACCCTCTCGCTCGCTCCGTAGTCGCCCCAAAAGGCGTTTTACTGGTTATAGGATTTTCTGTTGAGCAGCTTTTTTAACCGAAAATGGACGAACACGACTTCAGGTTGACTCTGTAGCTAACGGCTTCAGAAGACAAAGAATCCAATTTTTTAGGAGCTGCATGAACTTGATGTCCAGAGAGTTACTGAAAACGATGAATCAAAGCTCGCGGCCGTTTTTGAGTTAGTTGCGAAAAACACAGGGTGGCTTTTCCCCCTCTCCAACGGGTTGCGGCTTAAATATGTTTTTTTTTTTTATTGATAAGCCGACCTTGTGATAAGGTACATTCATGCCGGGTGATTCAGTCATGCCACCGATTTTCGCAACACCGAAAAAGTAGTTAATAGTAATTAGCAGGCTCGCGTTATTATCACGATGCAACAAATTGCACGATTTTCCCCTTTTTGGCCCGGCTCGCTCGCCGTGTTCATGATGCTCAGAGAACAGGGGTGTGCGTCAGAATCTCAGGAAATACATTTAGAGGAAAACTCATGGTGTTTGCTACTGAGTTGAAAAGTCGTTTGGAAGCCTTTCGTAGCCAGTTACTTCCCCTCCCCCTACGTGCAGCATCACGCATTTTTTCCCTTCCAGCACCGATCACGGCCTTCACACAACCACCAAATCTGCTGGAATAAACCTCACACCGTAATCGCAGTCACAGTCACACCGTAATCGCAGTCACAGCTACACCACAGTCGCAGTTACAGTCACATTGCAGTCACAGCTGTCGCAGTCACATCGCAGTCTCAGGTACAGTCACACCACAGTAACTATTTTCACAGTCACATTACAGTCTCAGTTACAGTTACACTGCAGTCACAGTTACAGTCACATCGCAGTTACAGTTACACCGCTGTCGCAGTCACACCGCAGTATCAGGCACATACAGTTACACCACAGTTACACTAACAAACACATTGCAACCTCAGTTACAGTTACACTGCAGTCACAGTTGCAGTCACACCGCAGCAGTGTTCGCCACGGGCCGCAAAATCCTAGTCCAGCCCAGCCCAGGCCCATGGGTTCACAGCCCGGCCCAGCCCGAGCCCATTCATGGCAAAAGCGTCAAAGCCCAGCCCGGCCCAACCCATCAAAAATGAATGGGTTAAAAATTATTGACACCGCACAGGTACCCAAAGGTAGCAAAGAGACAATATTTTGCGAGCCGCATGCACAGTGTGTTGCGTACTGCAACAAGGAGAGGTATTTTGATTACAGAAGCAATGTTTATTTTCGATTCACAAACAAAGCCAAAGTTAACACAATGAAATATTTTTTCCTCTGCTTTCAAAAATGTCACGGTCGAGAGAAGAATAAGGTCAACTTAAAAAGTCTCGAGGTCTTTCGCGAGACACAGTTAAATTAAGACTTCCAGAGAGACAGAATTAAGCATAAAATAATTAAGCGCCTTTTAAAAAAGAAATTCAAACAGCGATAATACATGGTACATACATAAATGAATCGGTAACATCCCGGCCTCTCCGAAATCACTCACGGTTTCGGACATTCGACACGATTCATAAACGCGCGCGCGACCAGCATGTGTACGCTTGCACATAACCAACGGCCATCAACCATACGTAATACGTATAGCCCTATCGCGGCAGAACGCTGAGCACCACAAGTTTCCGCACGGGACGATGGAGAATCCCATGTTTCGTGCGGATCTCTGCCGAGCGCACGATGCCATCAGCACCGCTGTGCACCTTTACAACGACGCCCTTCGGCCACAGTCCTCGTGGATGTCGGTTGTCTGCGACGATCACTGTGTCGTCCACTTCCACATTCGCGCGATGTTGTCTCCACTTGGGCCTCCTCGCGAGTGTCGGCAGGTACTCTCTGACCCACCGCTGCCAGAAGGCATCAGCGAGCCACTGCGCGTGCTCCCACCGCTTCCTCAGGTCCACGTGCTCCAGGTGACTCCCTGTCGGGTAGCTCGGAGTTGCTCTCCCAATCAAGAAGTGGAAAGGAGTCAGTGGGTCGTCGTCATCAGGATCCACTGGGACATGGAATAGTGGCGTCGAGTTTAAGACCTTCTCAACTTCACAGAACAGCGTGAGCAGTACTTCGTAGCGTGGCTTGTGTTCCTTCAGAATGGCTCGCAGGGTTTCCTTCACCGTTCTGACGCTCCTTTCCCAGACGCCGCCGGCCTCAGGGTCTGCTGGCGGGGAGAACTTCCATTCTATTCTTTCGACTCCCAGTTTTCTTCTGATTTCATCATGATCCAGCCTTTCCAGGACAGCTCTCAGCTCCTTCTCCGCGGCACGCAGATTTCCCCCATTGTCCGACCAGACTTCGCGAACATTTCCACGCCGGGCTTGGAACCTGGATATCGCCATTAGCGCCGCGTGCGTATCCAGGCTGTCGGTCAGTTCCAGGTGAATGGCCTTGGTGGCTAGACATCGGAAGATTACCCCCCAGAGCTTGACTGTCGCGCGACCTCTCTTCGACAGTATGGGCCCGAAGTAATCCATTCCGGTGCTGTAGAAGGCGCCTCGCAGCATCGTGACCCGCGACTTTGGGAGCGGCGCCATGCAGGCTGAGTGGGGCTGGGCTTTCTGGACTTTGCAGGTCTGGCACCCGCCGGCCACCGTGCGAATGGCTCGGCGCGCATGCGGTACCCAGTAGTGCTGCCGGAGCTCCGCCAGAACAGCTTCGTGTGCGCGATGTCCCATTTGTTCATGGAGGTGCTTGATGTACAGCTCTACGTAGCGATAACCGCCCAGCAGTATGGGCGGCTGTCGGGCAGTCGGGCTCAACTCCGGCGATCGTTTGCAGCGACTGTCCAGGCAGATGATGCCGTCAATCAGTACGGGTGAAAGGCTTGCGATCTTACTCTTCTTGTTCACAGGTCGACCCGCATTCAAATCCCGCAGCTCGGATTGAAATTGCTCATGCTGTACCGCCTTGATCAGTTGCTTTTCGGCTTCATCCAGCTCATTGGGCGTAAATTCACCTTGCGTGCCCTCCCTGTGTTGGAGCAGCCACCTTCGCACCCTTGCCATTGTGCGCACTGCCACCGACCATCGTGAACAGCGGATCAGGTCGGGCTGCGCGGCAGAGGGATCGAGGGGAGGCAGGGCGGCGGTAGTCAGCACAACCTTGGTCTCGGGGTCATTTGTCAGCACTTCATCTTCACTGACGTCAGTAGCCGGCCACCGATCCTCCTCCTGATGAAGGAACTCGGGGCCGCCGGCCCACGTACCGCCAGGCAGCAGATCTGCTATAGTTTGGCCTCGGGACGCCGCGTCTGCCACGTTCAGATTGGTTGGCACGTATCGCCAGTCCTCCGGCCTCGTGACGTCATGAATTTCCGCCACTCGGTTGGCTACGAAAACGTGGAAGCGTCTCACTGACGACTTTATCCACGCCAGAACGTTCTTAGAGTCCGTCCAGAACGTTGCCGATTTGATCTTGATGCGTGCTTCTTTCATCAGGTCGGCGGCCATTCTCACCCCCAGCACGGCCGCCTGCAGCTCCAGTCTGGGAATAGTGAGTCTTTTTGTCGGCGCCACTCTCGATTTGGCCACGACAATGCTGACCTCGATGCCTCCGTCTTCGGTTCTCCATCTGTAGTACAGTACAGAGGCAAAGCCCTTCTCGCTGGCGTCGCAGAACACGTGCAGCTCTACTTCAGAGGCGCACGTATTGTTGAACTGGTGCCTCGGCAGCCGTAGTACATTGATCCGTTCCAGCTCATCAGTCCACTTCCGCCATTCTTGTTCCAAATCTTTCGGAATTTTATCATCCCACGAGAGGTCACGTTTCCAGATCTGCTGAAGTAGGAGCTTTCCACGAAGCAGCCATCCAGTTAGGTATCCTAGGGGGTCAAATACCGACATAACGGTGGACATGACTGTCCGCTTCGTTGCCGTTTCTGGAGGAACATGCGTCCGGTAGGTCAGCATGTCAGAGCTGGGCTTCCATACGACGCCCAGAGCTCGATGATCGTCCGCATTCCCCACGTTGAAGTCATCTTCACAGCGTTGTTCGGGCATCAGCTGGCTGAGCACTGCAGGGGAATTGGACGTCCATGGGCCCAGTTCGAAGCCCCCGCGTCGAAGAGTTTCCGTCAGCTGGCCGATTAGTTGCACTGCTTCGGCTTCAGTCGCCGCTCCGGTCATCAGATCGTCCACGTAGCTGTCTTCATTTATCGCTCTGGTCACCAGCGGATCGCCGTCGCCAAAATCAGTCGCTGTGCGCCGGAAACAGTAGCTCGCGATACTCGGTGAGCACGCCGCGCCAAATATAAGCACAGGAGATTCATAGACGTCAAAGTCCCCGTCCCGGCTGTCGTCTCGCCAGAGGAATCTAAGGCTGGGTCGATCTTGTTCGTTCATGAGGATCTGGCTGAACATGGCCACTACATCTGACGTCAGAGCCACGCGCTTCTCGCGCCAGCGGATCAGGACACCGGCCAGTGAGTTCATATTCAGCGGGCCCTGCATCAGTGAGTCGTTGAGGCTCATCCCGTGGCTTTTGGCGGCCGCATCTAACACAAGACGCACCTTGTTCGGCTTGTTTGGGTTAGTCACAGCCATCAACGGCAGGTACCACACATTCTCTGGCTCCTGTGAGGCTTCATCAGCGGTCAGCTTACGAAAATGACCATCAGAGATCATCTTCGCCATCCGAGCTTTCGTCATTTCACCGATGCTTGGCTTCTCTCCACGGAGTTCAGATTTTTCCATTCGTTTTTCGAAGGCCTTGGCCCTCTTCGTAGCCATTTGCCGACTGGGCGGAAATGGCGCGGCACGATCGCGCCTCAGCAGCGGAGCCACCCAGCGCGTGCCGTCGTGGTAAACCTCGCTGTTTAGGATCTTCTCCGCTTTCCTGTCTTCTGGGCTGAATGGAGTCTCGAACTGATATTTACAGCCGAACTTTTCTGTGCTCCACGGATCGTCTGTATGAAGGAAGTTCACTTCAGGCAATTGCTCTGCCTTGTCTTCTCGTATGACCACTCTCCCTGTTACAGTCCAACCCAGGAGGGTTCGTTGTAGAAGCGGCCCGTTCTTCTTCGTTTTGCGCACTTCTCGTGTGGCTATCAGTTCCGCCTGGTCAAGGCCGATCAGAATCCTTGGAGCCTCGTCCAGCTCCGGCAGGTTCAGCTGTTCGAGCTCTGGATACAGCATCCTGAGGCGCTTATTGTTGATGGCTGGAGGTGACAGACGTAAATCGCGCACACATGTCACGTTTGCCAGTCGGAACTTCCTGCCGTTCTCAGGGTTTTCGATTCGCATGCTGACCGTCACTGTTTCCACTGTCTGGACCCCAGTGACTGTTTTGATGCCCATGGAGCTCTTTGGCCCTGAAAGCTTTAGCTCGTCAGCCAGTGACTTGTCCATCAGAGTAACAGAACTTCCTTCGTCCAGGAAAGCTCGGCAGCGGCGTTTTCCGTTCGGCGTCACCACATTAATGACACATGTCTTCATCAGCATGCAGGAGGGCGTGGCATCCTGAGTAGCGCCGATCACTTCAGAAGACGTCTCCGCGGCCGCGCCGTGCAGCATTCTATGATGGAGCTCTCTGCACCCGCCCAGGCCACAAGGTCGTCTTCTGTGACACGTGGAGGTCGAATGACCTGTGGAGAGGCACCGCAGGCACTGACGTCGTTCCTTGATCCACTGATGACGCTCGTCCACACTCAGCGTCTTGAATTTATCACAACGTTGAATGTAGTGTGGCTGTTCACAGAAGAAGCACTTCAGCTGTTCTGTTGCACAGGTCGTCTGACGAGGACGGGCCATCTTCGGTTCATTTCCCTTTCGTTTTGGGTCTGAACCGTCCCTGGCGAGCTGCCGGTAACCAGCGCCACTGCAGAATCTCCTATCCTTGATATGCGCTTTCAGGAAGGCAGCAAATAAATCGCAGGTCAGTGTGCCTCCTTCCACCTTGCTTCTGCCGTAACTTCCCCACTCGTGTCGGCTGTCTCGGGGTAGCTTGCTCGTCAGCACCTGCATCACTTGCAGACTGTTCAGCTCGCTGGACTGGCCTACGTGCCTGATGATGGCCACCGCGTTTGATATGTCGGTCGAGAACCGTTCCAGTGCGTCAATGTCACCTTCTTTTAGCGGCGGTGTTTCCATCAGTTTCCTCACTGTTCGGTTCACAATTATCTGAGGATCACCAAATCGTTCCTTTAATATGGTCCATACATCTCCAAAGCTCCCTCCGGTGAGAAGCGCACCATGCACGGCTTCGAATGCGACTCCCCGCAACCTCTCTTTCAGGTGTCGGAGAATCTGTGTCTCCGAGTAGCGTAGGCGCACCGCTTCATCAACTTGAGCCTCAAAAAATGGGAATTCTTCATACTTCCCGTCGAATATGGTGAAGTCGAGTTTCACCGCTTCTTGTATGTAAAGACGCGTCGGGGTCGAGCTTCGTTGCTGTTGCAAAATCGGAGAGACGACACGCGGCTCGGCTTTCGTCGGTCGAGACATATCACGATCGGTTTCGTATTCACGGTCGGATATTGTAGACGATGTGTCGCCGTTTCTGATCCTAGACAGCTGCAACCGATGCCTTTCCTTGACTCGTTCGAGTTCCAGTTCAGCTTCCCTGACTGCTTGTTCCAGGCGTTCTTCTTCGAAGATCTGCTCCTCTCGAGTGATTGCAGCATTCACACTCTCCACGCTTTCTGCGGCTTCAGAAACCGTTAGCCAGCTTCGATTGTGACGGGGCATGGGAGTGGGCCGATTGTGCGGCTGCAAACTTCGCCGAGGTGCTGGCGTAGGCCTTTCACTTACGTTATAACTCATCGTTTATTATAAATAGTGAAAAGGCTTGAAATTGCCAGGCAAACGCTGAATCTTAAGAGTAGCTACCTTAAAATTATTTCGGAGCAAACATTACATCATGTAATAATCAAACAGTACTTTTGAAGCAAGTATTACGTTAATATAAACAGCAACAGCACTCGTTAAGCACTTAAGAAAAATATTTCATGAATTGTTGCGTACTGCAACAAGGAGAGGTATTTTCATTACAGAAGCAATGTTTATTTTCGATTCACAAACAAAGCCAAAGTTAACACAATGAAATATTTTTTCCTCTGCTTTCAAAAATGTCACGGTCGAGAGAAGAATAAGGTCAACTTAAAAAGTCTCGAGGTCTTTCGCGAGACACAGTTAAATTAAGACTTCCAGAGAGACAGAATTAAGCATAAAATAATTAAGCGCCTTTTAAAAAAAGAAATTCAAACAGCGATAATACATGGTACATACATAAATGAATCGGTAACACAGTGCACATTGCATGCGTGCTTTATTGACTCGTTTTTTAGTCTTGCGCAGTAATAAGCTATATGTAGTTATAGTTTTTGTCTCAGTTGCGAGCCCCTGACTCCACTTAACTGTTCCTGGCCCAGCCCATCCACAGCCCATCGATCCTTCATATTTGAGGGCCCAGCCCAGCCCGTAGCCCAGCCCAGCCCATGGCCCATTGGGCTGGCCCGGCCCATGGCGAACACTGCACCGCAGTCACAGTCCGCTAACAGCACTGGGCGCCTTCTAACGCTCCGACCAGGGCCGGAAGAAAAATAATCAGCGGTCCCCCACTCCAACGCCCACCCCCACCCCGCAGGTACTACGCGCTATGGACTTCCGGGCACTCACGCCGGCAAGTGTCACCCCGTACAAACAACTAACTGACTGGGTGCATCCCCACCGCGCTATATGAGGTGCACCTGACGCGCGCCGTTACCCACGGGGCTGTGTGGGACGAGCGCCCAAGGGGTAATGTGGGCCCACGGGGCAGTGGGGGGCGTGGGCCCACGGTGCAGTGCGGGGCGTGCGTCCACGGGGCAGTGTGGGGCGAGCGCCCAGGCCACGGAGCAGTGTAGGGCGTGGGCCCACGGAGCAGTGTGGGGCGTGAGCCCACGGAGCAGTGTGGGCGAGCCGCCGAGCGCCCACGGGGCATTGTGGGGCGTGGGCCCACGGAGCAGTGTGGGGCGTGAGCCCACGGAGCAGTGCGCAGCCGGTGCGCCCGGTACGCTGGCCGCTCGCGGCTGATAGCCGCCGCTTGGGGGTCGGGGTGGGTCGGGGGTCGGGGGCGGGTGGGTGCCTATCAGCCGGCGGCACCGCGACGCGATCAGAGACCGACGGCGGCGGTCAGACGGTCAGAGTGGGCGCTGCCACCGCGACTGGGAGATCCATCCGGTGTCACCGGCCCCCGGCCCGCACCCCCGACCGCCGGCCGCACCGCCGGCAACAACTGAGAGCAACGGACAGACGCCCGACACGGACCGGGTGGCCAGACAAACCCAAACAGGACTGCAGCAGCACAGCATGGTCTGGCTACTGCGCCAGAACAGGTGGGTGCTACTGCTGCCCGACTGCTGACCCGCACAACTGTGTCTCGTGGCTAGACTTACAATTCGACCCATACCCTGCCCCCTGGTCTCAGCCAGTTTCGCCATGCTGGTAGTACACATATAGTGGTGGACGGTGGTGGTGGTGGTGTGTCAGTGTGTGTATGTGGGGGGGGGGGGGGGAGATTTGGCCACGCTCGATTATACCGAAAAGTAGTTAAGTTAGAAAGACGCGGGAAAAGCAATAGGTAGCTCAACGTAAGATCTTTCACTGAGGTCACTGGAGATCACTGGATCACTGGATAACCCGCGAGCTGCTGGGGGGGGGGGGGCGTTTAACGCCCCCATTTTCTTTTCTTTTTCCGTGCTATAGCTTAACAACGGCGCGCCAATTTTGGTAACCTGTAGAGAATTATTGGATGTGACAAAGAGGTTCTGGTTGGCTTGGCACCACAATACGGCAGCGTCATCGGTATGTATATGATGAGCAGCGCACTTGATATCCAACGGTGACACAAAACAGCAACATTTGTTTAGTTTGACCTGACCTGAAAGCCAGGTCAATGACTGACATGAGACAGGGTATCATTGGATTCGTCTCTTCCCAAAGAATCTTCTTGGTCTTTACCGCGAAGCTCTATCTTCAACAGGAACGAAATGGCGCAGGGGGGGGGGGGGCAACCCCCCATGTGCGTTCTAGGATGGGAAAATGGCATGTGCAGGCGAGGGTTAAAGCGTCTCTCCAAATGAAAACAAAACTGACGGTAATCACGCCACTGGGGTCAGTCAGTACCGACCCCGCCAGGAGCCCGCCGAGCAGCCCCCTGGACCGGTAGGGCTCCCGGACGCCGGACGGCCCCAGCCGGTCAGCCGGTGGTGAGGGTGGATGTGGTGTGTCAGTATGTTGTTCTATAGGTATGTGTTCATGTGTGGTGTGTGTCTGTACTTGACGTCGAACCGACGGCTGTGATGAATATCAGTTTTGTCTGAATGTCAGTGCTGTGTTCGCAGCTCTTCTGGTGAGGGCGGGGGCGCCGACGGCGGGCGCCGGGGCGCCGACCGCGAGCCGTGCCTGCTGCACGAGAATCACGCCTACTACGGCGCAGTGTCGGACGGCTGTGCCGACGAGCTGCTCACCCCGTCCGGTGAGTCCGTACCGTG